CATTAGAAAGATGTCAATAAAAATCCTTCCATGTCAACTGGGGAACTTGTCTATCAAAGGAAAATAAATGGGCATGTGCATATGGACTATTATTTTTTCTACACTATTGTCTGATCACCCATCTTACCGAGTGCCCAGGCGTCGTGTGCGCAGCCCCATGAACACAGATCTAATGAGTTTCCCAAAAGAGGCAGCATTAACAGGCTCTAGTTTCTGCTCCTGACAGTGCAGCAGATAGTGGCAGTAGAGGGTGGAACGGGGCAGACTCACTCCTTCAGCTGTCTCATAGTTGTCCAGCAACCACTGTACCTGACAAACAGGCAAAGAAAAAAAAGAAAGAGCTGGTGCAGTTAGCAAAGAAAATAGATGCAAATGGAAAAACACTCATACTGTATGCAAACACATAAATATGCATGCAAATTTGCAACTGCATTACACAAATATTCAGTTATACAAACACGGACAACTTCATTCACATTTACAGTTGGTTGGTCATATGGGAATGAAAACACAAATACATTTGTTTGCGTGCCGTGGCATACAACTTTGGTATGCAATGGATACATGACCTGTAATACTGATGGGATGTTTGCTAAACATAAGTTGTTTACCATTATCATATGAGGTTCGGTATGATGAATTTAACATGAACATATAATGTTGGGGCATTTCAGGCAAATCATTAATGCCCTCTTCACATGCACGCTAATGATATGAAAAGGATGAGGTCATGGTTTTGTTTTCTATGAGGAAATCACAGTTAAAAATTCTGTAAACTACAACAGGTGTTATTGTGGTCAACAATAGTATATAACTTTTCTGATTCTAAAATGAATCTCTGTATTTTTAATTGTGCTTTCCACTTGACAAAACTCTACTGTGATGCCATGTCAGTGTGTGTCACCGAAAGGTTGTGTTGATGAGAACAAAATGAGAGGAAACTCCTGCGCTTGGCGCCTCTGCATACCTTCTTGTCTGCCGACGGCACGCTACTCTCCTCGCCCTCTGTAATACTCACAGTGGCTGGGGAGGCGCGGGCGGTGTGTGAGTAGTTCTGACTGTTGCCAGCTGCCCCTCCGCTGCTGCTGCCCAGCATGTAACCCCCCTGGATCACATAGCTGCCTGCTGTGCCACCATTGGTGCCTGCCCCATCCCCAGCGCCATTGGTGGTGCCACCTGTGGTCACCACTGTGGCTCCTCCCCCTGCCGCAATGGTAGGCTGTGCCACAAACATGGACACACCCCCTGTTGTGCCAGCCGTCACAGAGACAGTAAGAGGAGTACCAGGGGTGGAGGCCTGAGAGCCTGATGTTGGCTGACCTTCATAATACTGGGCAGCTGTGGTCTGGGTGTACAGGGGTGTGTCAGTGTAAGGAAAGGTGCTGGAGCGACTGGAAAAAAGACATGAAAAGATGTGTTAGAAACCTCAAAAATATCTGTCTGGATATATGTTAGAAAATGACTGATGCAGTGTTCTAACATGGTGCTGGTGGTGTAGTTGGTGTCTCCTCCTTCCACATACTGCACTTGATTGGTGTAAACGTGTTGAACTGGCACTGGTGTGAGCTGCTGGACCTAAGGAGCAGGCAGACACACACACACACACACACACACACACACACACACACACACACACACACACACACACA